ACACACACACACACACACACACACACACACACACACACACACACACATTTAGAGTGCTTTCTCCACCCCATCATTCCCCCTTAGACAAAAACCCTGTATGAGTACTCTCATGGAAGATGGAAATTTCTGAGACTCTTACATTAAGAAACACTTGTCATTTAAATCATCAAAGGCTGAAATTATACAATGTGTAATAGTGTGTAATAGAAGAAGAAAAAAGATCCATGCTGGAGGATTTAAATGATGCACTACATCTGGTGTTTCTTGTTTCTCCACATTGATAAAAGAAAGGCCTTGTCTGACGTCCTGTAGCATAACGATGTGGTGTCTGATGGCGACACATGGGATCAATTGCTCAACCTTCTCTCCCTGCCTCGCCATTTATCTGACTCATCAATAATAGAAGGGGAGTTAGCCGGTCTCGGTTACCTGCCAGCTGGGCTCCGCATGTTTGTAGTAGCAGAAATTCTCCGTTATCCAGTTATAGATGGTAGACAGAGTCACTTTGGGCTGTTTGCTGGCCTGCATGGCCATGCAGATGAGAGAAGCGTAGGAATAGGGCGGTTTGACTTTAGGGTTGGTTTTGTAATCGACCTCCACGGGCGGGCTGGCCTGGATGGGGATCTGTGGGTAGTTGTTCCCTGGGTGCGCGCAATCGGCGAACCGCGGCACCGCGGTGCAGTCGCTGCCAGAGGTAACGGGGCTCCCGAGGTACAGAGGCATCCCGGTGGCGGCGGTGTCCCCGGCCGGCGGGCTGGACGGAGAGTCGGAGCCGCCCCTGGGAAAGCCGAGCCGCTTCAGATACAGGTTCTGCTGGGAGAAATGACAGCCGGGTCCAGATCCGTTGGGTCGCTCCGGGTCCGCGTTGAGGATGGAGAAATTCTGGAGCCAGTGGAGGCTGGTGAGGCTGTCGTCCAGGGGCGTAGAGTCGGACCCGGTGACCTGATCCTCCGGGTACACCGCCAGCCATTTCTCCTTAAACTTATTGGCAATGTCGGGGCTTGTCAGAACCGGCATCCTGGCTTTGTGCACGCGGTGAGCGATGAAGATGGCCAAAGGATCTTCAAATCGGCATTTAAAGTTTTGTTTTATCTTGAAGTCAGTGAAGTGAAAAAAAGGAAAGAAAAACTGTTTTAAAAAAATCACTAAAAATCACAACGGATTAATTTATCTGGTCAAAATATGCCTAAACAAACAACCTATTAAATTGCCAAATGATGCATAATATCCCTACCTACGGTGCAGTCTTTTTGGGGGGAAGACTCTCTGTGTGCACCTGTTGCAGTCCGTCCCTGCCTCTCCTCTCCAAGGACTCAGTGGCGCATCCAGTTTTTACGCAACAAGTGCGGCGGGGGGAGGGCGAGTAGCATCCAGCAGCAGCTCATGTGGAGGGGAAGGGAAGAAAAGCGCCACTCACAACAGATCCATGCCGAGTCAGGCGAACCGGACTGATTACTCATCCAAACGCTCGGCTGTGTTTAAGTGTCTGTTGGGAGGCCAAGACGTGAGAATGTGTGGAGGAGGTTGTAAAATAAGTCGCTCATAAAGCCCGAGAGACTGCCCACCATCCCTTTAACCGCTCGAGGGGATTTCTGATTGGCTGGCTATCCTTGCTTCTCCAGGTTTCTCTCTCTCTTCCTCTTTCACCCACCAACCAACCAACCACACACGCGCACACACACACACACACACACACGCACACACACACACACACACACACATACAAGGGGGGGGACTCAAATTAATGTCGAATGAGTGCTGGTTCGCTGCAGTAAGAACGGTCAGTTTCGTTGCCTTTTTTTTATCTTTGTCTTTATCCCGGGCTGAAATGTGACCTCTGAGGCGCGCGATGCGCCCCCCTCCCCCCGGCGCTGAAAAAGACGCGCCACAGGTCCCGCTTGGCTCTTTTTTACCTGCAAGGAAAACAGCCCACTTTAACTGATACTCGTGCATTTACAATGCCTTTACACTGTGGCTAATTATTGATTCTTTGCAAACGTGAAAAGGGCAATTGTTGATTGAACATCAGTTGTGCGCAATTTAATGGCAATCTTCCTATTAATTTGTCCTGCAGCTATCAATCCAGATGTTTTAGTCATAAGTGATATGGTATGTATAACTTTAAGAAAGTTAAAAGGCTTATGATACAATGTTTTGGTCGCAGTATATGCAACGTCAGATCAGTGATGTTTTGCAAAATGTAAAACATCAGAGCAGTTTTTCAGACTTAAAGCACATTCAATTGTGCAAAAATCGAAGAAGAAAGAGGGGTGTCTCACGTTAAGCAGAGTTTGTGTCTAAGGTGTAGTAATACATCAGGCATGTCATACAGGCTATCACACAAGAATACTCACTATATCCATTATTCCTCATGAATTAAACTAGTGAGCCGAGCCTTTCATCGAGAACAACTGCTTCCCCAATGTATTTTAAAAGCCCCATTGATCCTCCGATGTCTTTTTCCACACAGTGATCTTCTGAAAATATTTAATCGAGCCTGTCAAATATTTCTGCGACCCTATCAGTGGGCCTTGTCAGCAACATAATTAAATTTGAGATTATTTATTTTTCAAACACAAATTAGGAGTAAAGGGGTTTGTCATACACAATAAAAATGCATCCATTATTGATGTACACCAACTGTTGGTGTCACGTTCTACACAGGTTAAGGTAAAACAGATTGTAGGCCATCATTAATGCTGTGTGTGTGTAAGAGAATGGCGGAGGCAATATGAATTATGAGGACGCACTGCCACCCAGTGGATTATTACTGCGTTGCAGCTTCACCAGCGTTCCAAACCACCAATGAAGGCACTGATTTACTGGCATAGACAATGTAATGGAGGCCTTGAGGTTGAGAAAGAATTCCTACATAAAAAGCATTAACTCTTTCAAATAAGAGTGCACACAAGCAAGTCAGACATAAATTCACATAAGACATGCACCGTGCAGTGGCCTGCATTCACTGTGGGCAATTGTAGTTTCACCGCATATGTCAAATCAAACCGTTCCACCATGTTCCTCATGTGTTTGCTCTTCATGTTGACTGAGAAAGGGAGGCAATTAACCATTTTGGATGAACAAATGTTCCTTGTTATAGCTTTGTGCTGTACCCTCCTCCAATTACATCCATGGGCCTCGGTGCCAAAACACAGTTACCGAAACACAGTTGAGAAGTCATTTTCACCAGGCCTCTGATTGAAAAGATGTGGATTTAAAGACCTTATATTGACCTGATCATGGGGCATTCAACAGTCCCTGCTGTGTATACATGAGGGAATCACAAAGCTGCCATAGCCAACATGTAAGTCAAAGATTGCATACTGAGACAATCGTGGCCACTTAACAACTGATATAGACGAAGAAAGACTTTACAGAAGTAATTGTACAAGAGCCGTGGCCCACGTACATTAATGATGCCTCTTCCTCCTAATGCCTGAGGATATCTTCTACAGTATGCAGTGCCAGCCACCTCTCGTCCTCCCTCAAACAGATTTTCTCAACACATCTGCCGAGTTTAAAGATTTGGAGTGCGGAGGCCGACGAGGGCTGGCATTCAGTGTCGGGCACTGAGGATGGATGAGTGGCAAAAATCAACGCTGAAGCACTTGAAGGACCTGGATACTTCGTGCCAGCTGTTGCAACCCTTCAAGAAGGTTTGATTTTTAAAATGTCTCCATGGTTTGTTCAGGTTCTTGACAAAGGGGCTTGCTGGTGAGACGGGCAAATGTTTGAACAGCTGTTCTTATTGTTGCCAGGCTCCCTGCTGTCCTTCAGCTGCAACTAAGCACACATACAGTATGGCTACAGTTCCTCTAATAGGTTGGCAGAGGTCCGCTAAAGAGGATTGTTACACCAGTATAGGCTATGTATTTCTTGTTCATAGCACTGTTAACCTGTGGAGGGGTTTTAATTAAGAAAAGACAACAATATATGACAAAGTCCTTTTATTTAATTCCTTTGGCAACAACTCACAATACATTTTATGAGAATTGTGGAGGACCAACTGATGAACACAAGATACTTAAAAATACTAGAGATTGGGAAAATAGCTCTGTGGTTTATGATAATAAATAATCTTCACAAATGAACACCAGTGTAATGAGTGTATAGGTTTTAAGGCTCTCCCAGTGTGTTTTAAGATAAGTTATGGCAAGTGCCCATAAACGACACCAAGGTAACATAAAACTGTTGATTGTTAACTACAGTCAGCCCGTCAAAGGTCACACAACAGTATAACTGGGAAACCTACAAGTCTGTAAATCCATTTATCACAGTGGATGTCAATGACCCCAACTTCTCTGTGTTACGGTAAATGCTGTTTTTCCAGGTGCCTCCTATCACCAGCAGATGTCGCTATTTCAAATATGTTCCTCCATACCAAACCCTAGCTGCTACAGTTATTGTAATAAAAAAAAAAAAGAATGTTTACAGTTTTGAATTTCCCACAATCCTGAGCGGTGTGTGTTGATATCAGAGGACTCATTTTACCCACAGCCTGCACTAAAACTGCTGCTCTAGAAGCCCAGATAAGTCCTTCACTGATCCACACGAGTACGCTTGAATGGAAGAGCAGGGGATTTATTGTTTGGCCTGTAATAGTATTGTCCAATATAATAAGCCGAGAGGGTGTATTTGAAAAATTACATAATTTCAGTGTAACTCTATTGTATTGTATTGTTCATTCATCTTACTTTGTTTTAGTGACCACAAATAACAGCATTCTGCTCTTTTTTATTTTTTTATCAGACTCTCATTAAAATGAATAACTGGCCCTGATTTATTTTTTTAAAGATACATCATTATATATGCTCATTTGAGCAAGCGTAAAGCGGAGAGGATGCTAAGCCTCACTCTGGCGCTACAACAAAGGAGAATGGGGATGCAAAAAATGTTGTAACGCCGCCGCATGCCGGACTGATGTGTGCAGATAAGATGCGGCCTGATGGGACACACGCGCGCGTGCACACACGTGCACACCCACAAACACACACAGGGAAGCGGTATGAGAAGGGCGCAGAGCAGACACGACTGTCGGCTGTCCCCTAATTTATCTCTGAGCGATGTAATTGGCGATGGTGGATTTGTTTACCATATTTGGCAAGATAGTGACACAGCGCGCATGGGAATTGGACTAGAGCGGCCGTCACTCACAAAAGTCAGCCTTCTCGGAGCTTTACAAACAAAGCGGGTGCTCACGGGAGTTGTAGTCCAAAACAAACCCTCTCTGAGATTTCTCGAGGAGGGGATTTCCCTCCCCTGCGGTGATTTCAACGCCATATATGTTCCACAATTTTAAATGTGCTTGCCGCGATCAACTCTTTTCGTTTACCGTATATTTTTAATACAAAACAAACCCGCAGCAGCCCGTTAAAACACACGCCGACACGAGACCCCCTCCGTTTACAGCATACAAATCCCACTGGCGGTGCTCTCATCTGATTGGCCGCGCCGTGCTGTCAATCACGCAACGCTCCTTCCACTACCGCTCCTACAGTAAATATTTGTGTTTGCTCGACCGGCTGGAGGACTGAGGCAGAGAGACGGAATACAACTCGAGTGAAGAAAGAGAGGAAAACGGTCGAAAGTCTGTTTGTAAAGCCAGCCGCCGCGAGTAGGACACAGGCTTCGTCGAAAAATGGATGAACTCAAACATCAAGTCATGATTAACCAGTTCGTCCTGACGGCGGGTTGTGCGGCAGACCAAGCGAAGCAGCTTTTGCAAGCGGCACATTGGCAGTTTGAGGTAAAAAAAAAAAAAAAAGAAAGAAAAATACAAGATAATATACCTTTAACGTCAAAGTCTGCGGGCTAACGTTAGCCACACGGCTAATGTTTACGTCTGACCGACCATTAGTTTCTACTGGAGCTTCTCTGTCTGCCTCGCGACACTTGTGTAGGCTGTTGAAATTCAACACAAAACAAAGCGTCAGTGTTCCGCAATGTGTCCCCTTTTTCTTAGGGTGGCCAGAAGTCGGCCCACTTTCTAACCAGAACTTTTGCCTTATCTAAAGTAAGATGTGTGTAGCTTTATCCGGACTAAACCAGAGGAGGGGGGGCACAGTAACGCAGTACATCGAGCACATCCAATTAGACTTTACTCTAGATTAAATACTATAATCCGACACATGACAGCAGTGTTCAGGCGAGGCCGGCGAGTGCTATTACGCAATAAAGATGACCGTCGTGTTGTATCGACTAGCCCACAGACAGAGTGGAATTGTTTAGTCTGCGGTGAACCCAATATAGATTTAGTTCGTACTGGTAGTACGTCTTCGCCGCGAGCTCTCTGTATTATTTATAAATGTATATCAACACAGAAATAAGCGACGTTTGGACGAATTAGTTGTGATTTTAAATGCATTTATCTGAAACATAAAAACACAATAATGTCATTAATTGTCTTGTGTGTTTCATTGCAGACTGCCCTCAGTGCCTTTTTTCAAGAAACAAATATTCCATATGGCCATCATCATCAAATGGTGAGTGTGTGGAGGAGCGGGGGCGATAATAACATACGTTTGTAATGCTCTCTGTTCTGTTTTATGTAACTGTTAAAGAACCGAACTTCAAGCTAGTACATCTTTAAGAGCTACCGTGTTGTTTTTGGGTGGGATGGGGGAGGATAAACAGCCCTTATAGGCCAAGGGGGATGATGTTGTGCTAACAATAACAAAGCACATGTCGGCCATGTTGTGAGCTTCCAGAAATAAACACACACAGGCATGAAACAACAACAGCAGCAGCAGCAGCCACTTGAGTATGTATGCAAGAAAGAAAGAAAGAGGGAGATGTGGATATATTAAATCCCTAATTTGTCATTGTATCAACTGAGGTGCATAAAGGAAGGAAGGATGGGCCCCTCTGTTTCTGGGTAAAACAGAAAAAAGTCTCCTTCCAGGAAGAGGACAGCTGCGTCTCACAAATAAATCCTCATGAAATTGCATTTTGCCTTGGGTTATTCGGCTGTTCTTCGACTGATTTGGACACCGCTGGTATTCTTTTAGGGTCAGAGAAAACAGAGCAGAGTAAACTGGATCGGGTCCGCACGAGACTCTGCACGTACACACTCGCAGGGGTTGAACATTATGAAACACTAGCAGTATTTGGGCTTTTAGCAGCAGCAGCAGCAGCAGCACACTTTGGCAGCACACAGGCCTTTGTTTGCAGCTGCATGCATGGCAGCATCCAGCAACAGCTGCCCTCTAAAAGAGCCGGACAGAGATGTGTGGGGATTTATTTTATTTTTTTTGGACGAAGGATTCGCTTATTATTGCGTTGTGTGAGAGTTTGTGTAGATTTGTCGCCTCTTAGAGTTGTGCAATATCAGCAGAGGAAACGGCTCTTTCTGAGCTGGATCTTTGTTACAGTGGCTTCATTATAAGAAAGAAAGCGGCCCTTCTTCTTCATCATCTGATCAGTAAATAACAGCATCTCGGTCCTCCTATTTAGCTCACGTGATGTCTCGCTTTAATTCAGAGAGTAAACAATCTGCCTGGA